TGAACTCCCATTGAAATTGGAACAACAACTCTGAAAGTCGGAGCAAATTTTGCTACACAAGTTGCCGAGTTGAATCACCTATTGCATACACATAAGGTGTCATTTGTAACATGGTATTAGGTTATAACGGTTAGTTTGCTGTCCATGTAGAGTGAAGTAGATTAATTAGGAAAGATATTTATTAGCAGTATTTGCAGTACAAGCAATATTTTAGTGGTTTCAGGCAATGTACTGGTGCAGTAACAACTCTGGGACAAAAAATAACTTTGTAATAAAAAGCTTCAAACTGTTCAAACTAGGCAACACATCTTTATAGTAGCATCCATGTTATTTCCACATCCCGACTTAAAACACATGAACACACCAAAGTCAGAAGAACGGCTTCCCAACTCGGGAAATGAGACCATCCAAGGAGCGCATGAATGTAGCATTTGTGTAAAGCGCTAAGTAGCAAATGCTAACTTGCTAACTAAGATGGTGAACATCAGCCTTTTAGCAGTGTCGTTGTGAGCATGTTAGCATGTTGACGTTCACATTTAGCTAAAAAGCACCGCTGTGCATAAGACTCCTCCAGATATTTAGCATGCTAGATATCTGGCTCGTTGAGTAGTTAACGCATAAGAACTGGCGAGCACCATCTCATCTTACACTGTATCTCCCTGTCTATCGTAACCTCTCTTTTTTTCCCCCTTTGTTCTGTCCCTCTCTGTCTTGTTTTTTTAGCTTTTGGCCAGACAAAGTATGACGTGAAGAAATCAGACTATTTTTGTCTCTCTGTCTAAACAGTGTGAAAGGGGTGAGTTCAGGGTTTATTTGCTGTTGTTGTTATGGCAGCTGGAGATGTTTTTAGACTTGTATTGTTACAGACTGCCCTAAAGCCTGCAGAAACACACATACACCTACAGTGCCCTGGTGTCAGTCAAGCCTACATGCACACACATAAGGTCTGGTCACAATCAGAGGCTACAGGCTGATTTACTGGAAACAAAAGCTGCCCACTTAACAAGGGCAGGCGTGTAGTCGTTTGCTGTAAACCACCCTGTGAAAACCGCTAAAACCCTCATTAGGGGGTAAGCCCACAAACACATAAACATGACTTACTTCCTGGTGGTAGAAAGCAGACCCAGAAGCCTTTGATCCATGCAGGGCAAAAGGTTGTGATTACCCTTCTTGCAAGGTCAGATGTACAGTATTTATTGCTTTAAACAAAGCCTTTCACAAAGCGGGAAAGTTCTGGCTGAGGTTACGGTTAGCATTACATCAGTCTTGCAGGATCATTTTTGGTGTCATCATGTTACACCTTTTCCAAACAGCATTTGCACCTTGAAAGAAGGCACAAATAATGATGCAACTGTCAACAAGTAAAATATTAAACTTGGAGATATTGTGCACTCTTCATGCTTGCTGATAGGGAAAAACAGAGTTAGATAAACACACATTTCAAGGGCAAGAGAAGCTGCAGGAGCCCCAAAGTGATGTTATCAGAGGTTCCCCACGGGCATGTATGCTGTGCAGTTCTGTTTATGACCTTTTCAGCCTTTTTCTCTGGACCTCAGAAATAAGTAATCCTTAAACAAGAGTGGAATGTAGTAACAGGATGTAGCTTGAACATGAAATTAAGAGCTTGAGGAAAGGATCGTTTCAGACACCCTTATGGGGAGCACTGGAGGGAACAGGGAGAAGAGTTAACTAACCATACATGTTTATTCAGACAGTGCTGGTTCTAATATAACTTTTGGAGTGAGATATCTGACTCACTTGTCAGAATAAAATGGGTCCGGGGAGCCCATTCTGGCAAGGCAGACTGGAAAAATAAGATAGATTTGCTAAAACTCCTAGTCCATTGTTGCAGCCAAATGCTGCATACTGCTTACTGCAGTAATAAATAAAAACAACCTGGTTTTACAGAAACTCTCCAAACTAATGAACATGGCAGAAGTTATTTGAATCCACTTGACTGAGGGACAGAAAAACAATGGTGAGGCTACAAAATGCAAATAAATGCAGTAGTAGATTATAGTAGAAACTAGAAACATGTTAAGTAATTGCTGCCAGTAGTTGTTGTTTGAGTTATTATTAATCTATAAAAGATATGCTTGTTCCCATGGATGTAAGACCAGAATGACATTAAGTGTAACCTTTCTAATTCCTTTGTTTTATATTTAAGTAATCTTAAATCCAGCATTTGTGGTTTGGTCTTTATGGAGCTATGTGGTAAAAAATAACCCATTTCCAATTAATTGAAGAGTTGTAATCTTTATATATAAACTTTTTCTTTTATTCAACGCATGCTGTTGTCATTTGCTAATTGCTATAACAAGCACAAGCCCTTATTACCTAGGATTATCCCATGCCGTAATTGACCTTTCATTTAAAGGGCAGAATAATGACTTCAGGCTGCATTCATCCAAACCAGGCAATAAGTTCCTTTGATTACAAATGTGTGACACAGAAGCCACCTGTAGAGCCAAGAGTGCACTGTTTCTTATTGCTGTAACCTGATGGAAATACTCCGTTCACTCATGTTCTGTGGGGCTGCAGAGAATATCTGTTTCTGTTTTAGCTGCTTTTTATTGCACCACGCTGAGTGTTTTCGTATGTTCTTGGAGGTCTCCTTCAGGATCACATCCATCCATCCATTAGCTGTATGTGTCTCTTAGTCTTTGCAATTAATTTCAGGTTTGACATCTTTCACTCTAAATGTTTTAATATCTAACTCAATACAATGTGTTCTAAACACAAACCAGGTGCAAACAGTAAGTAAGAAAACACAGTAAATGGACTATAACTCTACATGACGGTGCCGTTCACTTTTAAACATGCAGCAGGTCAGAAGGCGCTGAACATAAATTATGCATGCAGCCTCTACAGCTGATTTCACTCTTTAGCCATCCAGTAGTGTCCCATGTGAGCTTCTAGGCGTTAAAGACAGCAGACATGTTGAACTTGTATTGAAAATGTGTTGTTATGAGTCACCCTGACAGAGCTCTGAAAGCTCACAATGGGTCCAAGCATCTGAACCCCCCCCCCCTACATTTCTTTTTTGTTCAACTGCAGCCACATGCAGGGCAGAAAATCTGCTGGCAATTTCCTCTCTGTCTTTAAGTGTGTGCGGTTGTGAGAGTAATTTTCTGCTTTCTGGGCTTGTGGAACGTCAGGCCGAGACAGGCACGCTACACCTAGCAAGACGAGCTAGCACGGCTGGCTCAGCGCCCTGCACTGGGTTTCCCTTAGAGTATATAGGGTATACACAAGTGGGGGGCCCCAAGCTAGCGTTCACACAGACACACACACACCCACACGCCAAACCCCAGAGCGATCATGTCCAATTTGCAGGTTGGGTTGAGGGTTCAGTGCAGGAGGCAAAGGCCCGCTGCCAAGAATAACACTTCGGTTATAGCTGGATGACCATTAAAAAACAGTCGTGAAATTAATCATATTCAAGATTTTGTGGCATTTCAGTAAATTAATCAGGGAGATTTATAACACAGGGGGCTCGGTGCCTTGCTTCGGGGTACTTTAGATAGGCCGCATGACTTGGAACAGGTGACTAAAACTGTGACCTATTGGTTAAAAGACGAGCAGACATAGAGAAAGGCATAAATTAAAAGGAGGAGAGACATAATGCAGAAGATAAAGACAAGGAGGGAATGAGACAGAGGGGGAAAGAGGTGAAAGGTAGAGAGAGTAAGAGGGTAAAGGATTAACAGGGATTTGTGAATGACGGGTGATCAAGTGACAAATGTTAAACAGTGGAGTTACAATGAAAGGATGAGAAAAGAGAGACAGGATGTAAGAAAAGACGGAAAGACAGACGACTGAAGAAAGGAAGATGTAAACAAGGAGCAGCAGTCAGTACAGAAAGCATTAGCATGATGAGTGTGCGAGAGAAGAAGGATTATTGAGTGTGTAAGAGTGAGACAAAGCATCTGTGGGTGTGTACATATATTTCCATGGCCTGACGGCATCTACATCTGGGGGAAGATGAAACAGAGGGATGATATAGAGGAGCAGGAGAAATAAAACAGAGACGGGGCGGAGAGAAGATGTGAGGGAAGGTTTATTATTGCGATGATGGTAGGAGGCAGGAGAGAAGTTAGATGTGGCCTCTCGTCCAACTATAAACACTGTCGTGTTCAGCTACTCACAGCTGCAAGAAAGTGGTGAAAAATGAAAAATTACAAAAGCTCTTTTAGTTATGTTTTCTGTTTGTGTGTTAATTTGTTTTCTACTTCTCAAAATAGCACTCTGTGAAGATTATTAGAAAAAGCCTGCAGAGTTAAGGCAGACTCAGGGGAATGAATGAATACTGAGAGGAGACATATACACTGTAGGAAAAACATACCTATCATGTACAGTTTAAATAATAACATAGTAAACCGATTACAGATTTATTTCATCATATAAATTAATTAATTATTAAAGTAAGTTAAGCTAAGTTATAATACGTGCATAAGAATACCTTTACACTCTGCCTGAAACTCTCATTAATTTATTGCACTTAATATTTCCTAATATGTTTGTACGTTATTTACCTTATATGGTCATTCTGATTCTCCATGTTGTAATTTTATTAATTTTAACTACCTCGCTCTTCTCAGCATTTCTACAGTTTTGCAGGTCTGTCTGGTTTCTCCCCTTTTCAAAGGTCCAAGGTTGTCTAAGGAGGATGTCATAAAATATCGCAAAAGACATCTGTGTCAAATTTGTGATTTCTGGTTATATGAATAAAACTGGCTTCAGTTAACTATAAAATAAATTACAACCATGTTTGTTACAACCGTTTCAGTCTGCACACCCACACCTGGTACGGGCTAATCAGCCATCACAGCAAAGGAAAAATATTAACAAATGCAGGCTAATCATTAACTTCACACTCAACATTAAGTAAACACTGAACAAGCAACACCATTTACTGAAGGTCAACAGTCATGTGAGCCACAAATGCTACTGTTGTTGATGGTGTTTTCTTTCCCCCTCTATTCCTCACTGTCTTTCAGGTGACAGAGAACATCATCTCCAAACAAACCTTCATAGGTGAGTATCACACACACACACACACACACACACGCACGCACGCACGCACGCACGCACACACACACACACACACACACGCACACACACACACACACAGACCACAGCACAATGCAACGTCGTGGTTTCTGACATTCTTTCCTCTTCTCTGCCTCAGAGGCGAGAACCATGCCTCGCTCTTTCAACAACTCGGGGTCAAAGTTCATGACCTCGGTGGCCCAGAGACCATCTGCCCACTTGACCCTCAGAGACACCAGCACTCAAGGTGAGGTATTGTTTTGGTCAGTGGTCAGGCTGAGATTATTACTTTGGGTCGAGGGTTTCAGGGAGCGTGATAAGAAAAGGAAACTGTATATCACATAAAGGTTTTATGTGTACGTATAAGTGTGTGTTTAATTAATGTCAGCATTTTTTGTGATGACCAATTAAAACACAAGACACTAAACAGTATGTATTCGTTGCCGACATAGTGTTTGTCTGTTTAAAAGATGCAGACATCTGGAACGAACAACATTAAGGCTGATTTGTGTATGAAGGCAGAGGAGCACTAACAGATCTTAGCTGAGCAAGGATGGGACTATCGGCAAATCCACCGGTTGATAAAAACAGGCCGATTGTATAGAAGTTAATGAGAAAATAACCTACTTCTAACTTGATTTATTACCTCAATAAACATTTTCATAATGAGTTTATGATATCAAGTTAGTTTCAAGTTTTCTCCAACACAGCATGATGTTCATTTAATAAATTATGGTCCCATTTGGAGGAAAATAGATGATTGGGCGGATTAGTCTAGATAGTAGGAACTCATCCCAGGGTGTCAAATGCCGACGCTTAAAGAAAACCTGACAAAGCGTCTGTATTTCGCGCACCAGGTACCCTTCAACATCCGTTTGAGACGCCCTGGGCTTTTAAGTAACTCCAATGTAATCCATCCACCGTCAAGTATTGTACATACTTTAATCAAAAAAGCAATCTTTTCCTAAACCTAAAGGTGTCTCATACGGATGTTGAAGGGCACCTTGTGCATCAATTACAGACGCTTTGTCAGTGTTTCTCACAGCATCGGTGTTTGATAACCTGAGATAAGAATGCGTCGCTAACTCACAAGGGGTCAAAAATGCCTTAAAATATTATTTCTTCTCAACTTTTATTTATGTACCGTTTAACATAAATGCAGGATCTCTGGTCTAGATCACTGAATTGTATTCCTTACTGTGCCATTTTAGGGACCAGGCTGCTTTATTATAACTTAAATTAACTGGGTACATCCTTTCATTATTAATAGAAGGGCAGGCTAAGCAACATTAGGACTCAAACTCGCTGTATTAAGGATCAAACTCAGTTCTTTGGACATTAAGGTAACATTCCTTGTGCACATTCCACCTTAAATCTCAAATATAAAACATTTAGTTGTACATTGAAGGATTCAGCTTCCTTGCGTCTGACCAATTGTCCTTCAAATAAATGTCACTTTCTATGTGCCAGATGCTCTTTCCTACAAGAAAAGCTTTTATGAACTGGCTTTTGGCTTATAAGGGAGGTATATCAACGTTTAAAGCAGTAAAACATATTTATTAGGACAGCGTCATAGATAAGAATAATGACAAGCGTATGTTTGCAGTTTACAGCTGGAATGTGTTTCATTTGTGTGTGTGTGTGTGTGTGTGTGTGTGTGTGTGTGTGTGTGTGTGTGTGTGTGTGTGTGTGTGTGTTATGCAGAACTTCGTATCGTTTCATCTGAGACTGGCGTGCAAGCTGAAGGGTGTTGACAATCTGGCAAAGTCCGCTGGATGTTATTTTCCTTGAGCTGACAAAGGTCAAAGATGGTGTTGTGTGTGTGTGTGTGTGTTTACATAAAGAAGAAGGAAGAGAGGGTGACGTTCACACTTCCAGCCTGGATTTCTCATAAGGAAGTACAACCGCAACTGTGTTTTCTAATAAACCATTATCTCACAAATATGAAGGAAACAATAGTGTGTTAGCCAAGCCAGAGCATTACCACACACACACACTTTAAAATCAGTAGCTATGATGACAAGCCATTACTGTACTGCAGCAGAAACACCACTATAAGCATTAGAAACTTCTCGAAAAGAGCAAACTCTGCCTATGTTCAATCTGCCATTCCTACACAATATGTACACATGCATAATAATGATGAAGGCATAAAGTAGGCAGACACGAAAAGATGCTTGTTGAATGTGGAAGGAAATCCCGAGACCTACTGCCCCATTGCAGACTGGCCTAGCCTTTTAAAGACCGGGATAATAGTGACTGCTGGTCAGTTAACACTAAATCAGTGTGCGAGGTATATTAAACAACTGATAACCAATAACAGGATGGTTGCTGAAGCCGAACTAATGCTGCGTTCCACAGTGCTCCGAACTGGGAAATTTACAAGTTGAAATTGCTGACTTCCGAACTAAAAGCGTTCCATGGTGCATTGTGGTGCATGACCCCGAAAGTGAATGAAAACCACGGCTGACCGTGACAAACTCTTTGTCAGGTGTACAGACAGTTGCACCCTCCGCACTGCCCTTGGTGCCAATTAAAAGGATGGCCATTTTAATGTAAGCAAGGGACATTAATAGTAATAATATGTTACTCCATAAGTGTGTACCCGTCTAACTACATCAGTTGGTAATCCTCAAAAGTCAGTAAATGTTGCAGGGCATCTTCTCTGCACAAAAGTCATGCAGTAAAATGTTAAAAATGCCTAAACATTAGGAAGTATACCTTTCAGAGATTCTTTACTGTAACCAGCTACCTAATAACATTGGCAACATATGTCTACATCAATTTACATGCAGAACAGGTTTTACTATACGATGTTATGTATTATTTTATACATGCATGTTCTTTGGGAGCAGCCATTGTTGCGTGACGTCATCCTGCTGCTACTCGTGAAGTCATGGGACACATTTTTTAACTGAGTTCACAAGTAGGAACTCTGACTTCAAGTGGCGTTCCAGGATAGTTTTTCGAGTTGGAGGTCGGAAATTTCCGAGTTCTGAGTTGCCTGGAATACAATGTAACCATGGGTTGGTTCGACAACAAACATTGGATCACAATTTGAAAACAGCGTCTCTTTTTGCACACGGCCCTATAAAGTAGCCGCGCTACAAGTACAATAATATACTCCTGTTTAACAGGGCGCCCATTTATGTCACTCAGTGTTTCAGATGTTACCGGACATTTATGAAACTTTAATAATTGGTGAAGCCCATTGCTCAACTCCGGCATTTTTAAAAGTAGCCTAAGAGGAGTGCTACTTTAAGATCCTCTGCCCTGCTCCCTTTTTCTTTTCATGAGAATCAAACTTTATGAAGCGAGCGATGATTTCTGGACATAGAACGTTTGTCTGTCACCCCTTAGTCAACCCAAAAGTTGAGATTTTGTTTGATCTCACTCTATGTCTGCAGCTCATCCTTCATACGTCTCTTTCAAAACAGTTTCTCACGACTCTTTTCTCTTTCTCACCGACAGGGTTCGCTCCCTACCCGATCCCCACACCAGGCCTACACCAGTCCTGTCGCCATGTTGTCCGTACATGGGCCAATCAGAGCTTTGGAGCTCACCTTCACAACATGACCCTGTCCAATGGGAAGCTGCGAGTGCCTCAGGATGGGCGCTACTACTTGTACTCACAGGTGATTTTACTGTACTTTAAGTACTATTTAATTCAGAAGGAAACTATAATTGCTATTTTCTTCATCTGTCCACACAGGGATGAGTACCTTTTAACTTAAAAGATATAGAAAATGAATGACTATTTTAGTTGCATATAAATTAGGAAGTGCTGAAGTAAAACTCAAAAGAATTTCAATTTACTCACACATTAGAAAATGTTGGAAGTTCTTGATAAATTAGTTAATATTTTAGACGAATCAAGTTTTAAATTGCAGAATTATTTTTAGTCAACTAAATTAATTTGATAATCGTTGAAGCATTGATCCTGGCAGGGTCTTCAATGCGAATGAGTGGAACAATCCTAACAAGGCAACTCTGCTCTCTCACGCCTTCAGGTGTATTTCCGTTATCCGTCCCCAGCAGCCAGTGACGGAGACCAGCGCAGCGTCAGCCACCAGCTGGTGCAGTGTGTCTACAAGAAAACTTCCTACCCAAGCCCAATACAGGTATGTTCTCTTTTCCCTTGAAATAATATGGTTAATGTTACCACTGTTGATTGATACAACTGTTATCTCTCTTACCTTAATTTTCACATCTGTGCAGCTCCTGAAAGGGGTGGGAACAAAGTGCTGGGCTCCAGACGCTGAGTACGCCCTCCACTCTGTCTACCAGGGAGGACTGTTTGAGCTGAGGGCCGGCGATGAGCTCTTCGTCTCCGTCTCTTCCCCAACCATGGTCAATGCAGACGATTCCTCCAGCTACTTTGGCGCCTTCCGCCTGGACCTCTGAGGGGAAACGATGCAAAAAAGAAGGAACAGATGGAACGATGGATGGACAAATGGGTGGGCTGGAGAGGATGAGTTAGGGGCCTTTTGAATATCCGTTGATTGGGAAAGGGTCATTTAGAGTGAGCTGTGGAATAGTGGCTTGGATCCTGGATCCTCAATGTTTGCTTGGACGGATACATTGAAGGATTGAAGGATTGAAGGATGAAATGATTGGATTTTGAAGGCTTCACTTGAGTGAATGCAACAAGACCATGGGGTGAAAGGGAAAATAAAGAGTGGATCTGCCTTCCTAACTTTCCATTAAGCAAAACTCAACCGCAGAGAGCAAGATATACAAAGATACATGTGCAATCACGAAAAAATAAATGTAAGGATTTTGATTTTCTGTTGGTTTTCTGAGGAAGGAAATTGCCTTTTGGATGTCAAAAAGAGTAAAACACAGAAAACCAATAAAAACATTGAGGTCTTCCTGTTAGACGTGAATTGCCCCAATAATTTGGCCACCCTGCTGCCTGTATCCTGAATTAACACATGAATCTCGGTGTATCTCGCCCTTCATCAGCCTTTTTACAGGGAGCAATCGGACCCTCGGATTTGGATTCCAGACCGAAGAATGTACACTCAATAAAAAATCCTCTGCATCAAAGATCTAAGGAAGGAAAGGCTAATGATGACAGAAGAAAAGCAAATGATCAAACCAAAGCAAACTTTGTTTTTTAAGTGTGCCTTGAGAGAACTGTATATATGAATGGCTGAGAATGAGATTTACACAATGAACTGTGGTGATTTTAAAAAGTAATTCAAATGTTGTTTTTTTTACCTTGTCTGGACTTAAAACCACTTGGATTTTGCTGAGGACTATCTATCTGCAACACAAAAACTGTGGAGTTTATGCAAGGACGTTTTTAAGAGGTGGATAAGAGTTGCTTCTTAGACTATGAGAAGCAGCATAGAGTGCCTTTTGAACAAAATGAGTCTGCAAGGGAAGGACGAATGAAAACAAGGAGGAGGGAGAGTGAGAAATCTTGTAAATGCCAATAAGATTGAGCCCAGCAGAAGAAGATAAAAGGAAAGAGAGAGAAAGAGGCTGAGGTTGGTATGCAGCCCAACCAGTCTGTGTTGTTGATCTCTGTTCTCTCTCTTTCACTTCCCTCTCGGTCTTTCTCCTTTTTTTTTCATGTAAAGAATTTGATCCATCTTGTCCACCCTGTGAAGCTGCATTCAGTTTTATTTTTAACATTAAGCAACCAACCAGAAAACAACAGCCCTACAATATGGAAACAAGATGCCAAGACACACATGCAAATAGGATGGTTCACAGAGCATGGTTTAAATTGATTTGATCAAAATAAAATAAAAGGTCCAGGTTTTTTAGAAGTCTAGGTAACATGAAACATTTCTAGCAATATTTTACAAGCATTGTTTGAACAAGTTGGTAGGGCCTGCTTCACATTGAAATATACTCCATGAAATGTTGTTAAAACTTCAGACATCTTGTTGCAAATCAACAAAACCAGATGCTTTCATCACAAACTAAACAATTAAAATTGGGGCTGAAGAATTGATGGTACACAAAAATAGCAAAATTACATGTGGCTTTCTGACCTGAAATTGGAGCACTAAAGACGTAGTTTGATTTTGGGAAAGAGGTTCATTTTCTTTTTTGATACCACTATCATGTCCGCCTAAGACAGTTAGCTTAGCTTAGCACAAAGACTGGAAGCAGGAGGAAACAGCTAGCCAGTATGAGGATTTAGTCACTTTTGGACAAAGCCAGGCCAGCAGTTCCTCCTTGTTTCCACTCTTTATGCTAAGCTAAGCTAACTGTCTCCTGGCTGTAGTGTCATATTTATTGTGTTTTATATGGTAAGTAATAAGAGTGGTAATATCAAACTATTCCTTTTTATATAACCACCAGCCACTTATCAGATGTGTTTTAACATTATAGTAATAGTTAACAAAAAAAAAGTTAGCTGCTAACAAGGAAACAAAACTATGTTGGCGTATTAGTGCTGAAACTGTCAAAAACATGGTCAGTTTGTACTTTCAGACAGGCCAACAGCTGTTGACCAAGAGATGAATGCCTCCAATGTGGCTGCTGATACACACACAAAACCACATTCAAAAACATTTTGCAAAACAGAACAGTTAATCAAGCGATCACAGAAAGGGTGAATTTTAGGAAAACACACGCACATAAAGGGAGGGAGCGAGAGAGACTTTTTGCAGACATAAACCATGCGCTGACTAGCACAGACTCAACCCCTACATGCTTTTTTTATCTGGCACGCACATGCACATGTGTGCACATAAAGTGCATACACACATATCACCTCGTACAACATCCAGGCTTAGTCTGTGCTCCACAGACACACACATCATCTAGTCTCAAATCCAATGCAAAGACACAAACACACACTCTGACACACACACTCATTTATCCACACTGTCTCGCCTCTCTGTGCCATCTGGTAGTTGTCAGTGATCAGTTGGAGGCGAGGAGGGAGTGTGTGTGTGTGTGTGTTTGTGTGCGTGCACTTACAGGACGTGTTTGTTCAAAGGGCTTGGTTCACATGGACAATTCATAAAACGAGGTAAAACAAACGTAAACACACACACAAACACAACCTTCAATTTGTTTTCCCAGAGAAGACAGGATTTGTACGCTTACACAGACACACTTTTCATAATGACATTCGGGTATCTTTCTGACACTGTGGTTCACATATACCTGAGTATACACTCTATGCAAGGTTACGTTATTCTATGGGCAATGGGTAAGCTATGAAAACATCCTGTTTTTCTTTCTGTGCAAAGCACAAAATTGAGGGCAAATATATTTTTATGTTTGATTGCTGTTTTAGCTGCTTTTTTGCTCGGTGGCATGCACCTGGTCACGTTTCTGTTGGGCTTCTTCTCAGGCTCCATCACACCACACATACCAAGCTCACGCTGCCCATGTGAACTTGAGCCTAAGTCCGTTTATTATCCGGGATAAACTTCAACCAACCATAAAACCTTTTCTTTCTTGCACTCCAACCAAAGCAAACAGTTCACTGAAACAGGTCCAGCGATGATGATAATGCAAAATACACATGCATATTATAAAATCATAAATCCCTGGGCCAGCTGGGAAAACGTAGGATTTGAATGTGTATGAGGTGTGTTTTGTACTGGACAGTTTTGTAGCTGTGAACATGTGTAGCACATTGTTGCTAAGAAAATAAACAATTATTTGAACTTTCCATGTGTATGTCAAGATTTATAGTGTGGCAATGATCTGAGCAAAGAGAACATCCTCCAAATGCTCATCCCAGTGCACGGTTTTTGGGGATTTGAAGGTCAAAAGGGGCCTCAAAAGTCTTTGACAGTCAGGAAGCAGCATAAACCTTACGACTCCAGTGAGTAAATACTCTAGACAAACGCCACTGGAATTCTGCCTGTAGACAACCTGCATATCCTGGCGGCAACTTGATCTACAGATTTACGATTAGAATATTTACGTATCACATTCTGTTTGATTTTATCTACCAACCATCAACAGACTGAAAGACTCCCCACACCCAAATCATATTCATAATCATCGCAACAGTTGTATTGTGTGTGTGTGTGTGTGTTATTGTTAAGTGAAAACTGAACTATTTGGAACTTGGGGTCACCATTAAAGTTAAAATAAATAACCATTGTTTTGAGGTAATTTCAGTGACTGTATTTTAACATGCAGTTATGATCTTCACACAGTCCTATAGTCATTTAAATAATTTAGAAACATTGGTTATAAGTAATCTATATCTGGGGGTCTGGATCCCTCCAAAGGATCACAAGATGAATCTGAGGGGTTAAGCAAGGATAAATGGCAAAAAAACAAAGTTCTGGTGGTTTGGGGGGGGGGGGGGGGGGGGTTCTTTTTTGTACAGTATTGATTGAGTTTTAGTGGTTGTGGTGGAACTGACGACATCTCATAATCATCTGAAACCAGGGTTGCTGTGCTTTATTTTAAGGGGTAAGATGCCTAAAAGTTTTGGGAACTACTGAACTAGATGTCTATTAAAAGGTTTTTCTAGATGTTGTTTGACTCCCATTTGACAAGAGAATACCTGCAGAGATGCTTAAAGTACCTCACTGCTAAAATTAAATGGCAGTGGTTCCAAAAAATCATCTTCTTCAAATTTCTTTGCAGAAAATACAACTCATGACTCCCGCTGGTTGGCTAATTAAGTTTCTGGCATTTTAATGTTTTGCATTTGTAGCACCCTGCAGAGTGAGCTTGCTCATCGCTCAGCACTTCACTTTACTCTAGATTAAAATGAAAAAGCCATGGGTACACATGCTGCTTTAGTCTGCCTGCACAGTGTGGGGCCATCATCCCAAATCATCACATTAACTGGAGACGTCTAAATATAAAGGATACAGTTTGAGGCATAAATAGGTAAAGATTTAATCATTTAGTCGTAACGAAAATAGAGGCAAAGTCTAGATGTTACTTTCATTTCTAATCAGCAGTCAAGTGAAAACACTCGACAGCTGAGCCAGCTAGGTCCAAGATTCCGACTTAGCACTAAATTCATGACCCAATTTTCTGTTTATAAATCTAATAGACAAACACATTCACATCTACATCTACAGCCAACTTAAAGTGAAATCAGGAAGGATTGTTTTGAGCTCTGTACTCCAGCACATTGTTTGGGTTTTTGATGAAACAAGAAGTAGCAGGTTAGCTAGCTAATATGGGTGTTTGAGGGCGTGACTGTACTTTCTTACTACATTGACATCTCGTGAAACATGAAGAAGATTCAACCACACAAAACCTTCCTAGAAGTGAAGATTTCTGCTTTTCATTGATGTAAGAGCTGCTTAAAGATGAAAACAGCCCAATACTGTTGAACTTGACAGTTATGTTTGTACTGTATAATGCCTTTGTTTCATATTTATGTAAAATACTCTGTTCTCTGTGTTATTATGTCTTGCTCTGCACAAAAGTGGTTGTGAAAAAAAGTGCCTTTTGAATTCTATTTCTACAGTTTGTAGCGTTACGTTACAAACTGCCAGACCGCAAGTCAGACACATTGTCCACCATTTACTCTCCATTAGGCCTGGAAAAAGACACTGAGCAGTTGCTATGAAGTGCTCTGAGATCCAAACCTCATGTAAATCAGCACTGTGACCAGTTTCTGGCTGTGTTCCTTTTTTGAGCTCTCATCCAAGATCCATGTTGTGTTTATATTTTGAAAATAGTGTGGTTTGCTTAACATAATTATACATTTCCAAGGGATGTACATCACAAGCTCTATTTCAGTTTGACAGAGTGGTTGTCCAAAAGCAAGAGTTTCTTTGGCTTTGAAGAAGTCGGAAAAACACCAGATTTTTCTACAGAGGTTTGTCTCTAATACTTTGAACATTAAAGGTCCCCTGTGGAGATTTGGTTTAAAGGACTTTGAGGACTAGTAAAGGTAATGAATCTATTTCCTTCCTCATGAAACATTTGCTAAGCCAATTTGTGGGTAACTTTTAAACCTGCATTACTTATATATATATATATATATATTTCTATATATCACCTTTTTTTCCATATTGCTTCATTTCTTGGGATGTTAATGCCACCAACTGTTGATAGCGTCATGCGCAACTATGTACATGGTCACATCACATCCATGAAAACATTGCTCCCGAGCACTACTAATGGTAAAAAAATAAATAAAATAAATAAATAAACTGTACAGGATACCTTTAATCAATGACTGGTAGCAGATTGTAGTTTCAGCTATGCAGCGTGGGCTACACATGAGGCAGAGATGATGTCAGTCGTTAAAGCCTTCCTCAAAGTTTAAATATAGTTGTCTAAGTTAGCTGTGCTATCTATCATCACAAATATCACCTTCATGAACGGATAAAAGAGCTCACCGTTATTTTTTTTATTCATTATTTAATCACAGTTCCTGCTAATTAGCCCATCGCTAATTTTCATTCTACAAAAGTGGTTCAATGGCTCCTCCAGGTACAACTGAAGCAATGATATAATCTCTGCATCCACACCAGCTCCAAGAAACATCTGTGGCACATAAAACTTATGGTCGTTAAATAGCAAAAATGGCTAGTGAGTTTTGAAATCCACCCCCAACTGTTGCTGTTGATTAACGTGCTTGGACCGTAGCAAATATGCTGTGACCTCATGTTGCTGGCAATGAGGTCGATCAACATATCAACTCACCAGGACCAGATTACAGACATTGTTCCACTGACTACAATGTGTTCCTGTTGCCAGTTTTTGTCTGAGCATGACACAATGACAAAACAATGTTTGTAGCAGTAAAATTATATTTGGCAAACCTATCGAATGTGAGGGTAAATGCAATCCAGACTTTCAGCCCTCCAGAATTTTCAATAAGAAAAACATAATAGGTTTGTACGAATTACATAGGGCCTATACATGCTTCAAAGCCGAAGCATGTATATACCCTATGACAAGGTGAAGACAGGGAAATTCACCACACCTCAGGGGCCTGCAATTGTGATCTCATAGAAATACAATACAAGACATGCACATCAAGACCTTGTTTACTGTTATACCACAGCTTTGAATGACTGGAAACTGGTGTAAATAAAACTTCAGAGTGTGTACCGCTTAGTTCGGTTCTGGGATTTTAACAAGCAATCTTCTGCTTACATGCGAACTGTCTCAATAATTCACACTTTTTTGTCTGAAACACACCACTCACAGTCTATGTATGTAGACACTGTTCAATTCAAATCTTTATTCTTTCCTTGCTATCAGTCGAGGAAATTCTTCGATTATTTGACTAGTGCCTTTTAAAATAATACTCATTTGTGTTATTTTGTGCTCAAATAAAGTGCCTCGTCACAAATAAAGTGACAAGGATGTCAATGTCGAGTATTTTTTGTTGTTGTTGTTGCATGAAATAAACCCAAAATGAAAATATCTCACTTGCATTTGATGTTTCAGTCAGGAGCAGGTTAAATTGACTAGTAGACGGTTAAGTCATTACTGAAGTAGATTTAAACAATGGTTTTTCGGTTTCATTAGCAAAACTAAACTTTTAATATTGGGCTTTTTCTACTGCTAAGAGGCTATGAATATTATATATGTATAATAGCAGCATTTAGAGCAGCCCATTTCATTTCAAAATATATTTGTTTGGGACCTAACTTAACAAAATGATCCAGCAGCTGTGATTGACTACAGATGATGTCTCAACTTGGATTTTGGCACCATGATCACACACAAACACGTGTAAATTATGTGTGTTACTATATGTACAACTGTTCCTCCAAGTCATTAAATATAACAAATGTGTTTTTAATCAATTTTCCTGGTTAAAAGGTTAATCTAGACCTGAAGCTCACCTTTGGTCTGTGTCTTGTGCCACATTCACGCAGGAATTTTATTATCTGGGGACATCCAGTAATTTGAGATAATTTGCAGAGACTGTCAAGTAATTTTGACCATACGAATCGGTCTGTAATTTGTCAAATGAAAATTCCTGCACAAATTGCCTACCATTATTTTGTTAAAACGGAGGTCTCCTGATAATACTTATAGTGTGTAAACTGAGCTCTCAGTAACTTCATGTGGCATTTGGCAGGATTTCCCAATTTTCATCTGGTGTAGGATGGATGCAGGAGTGAAATTAATGACGGAATGATTTGTTTAACTTTTCCGTACAAGCCTCACAACTGCTGCAGCTCAACCTGGAGATCGAACATGAAGCTTAATGAAGTCAATGAACAACTAAATAAAATGCAAAAAGATAACAATTGGATTAGATGCATGCAAGCACTGGAAAAGATTCTGCCCATTTATTTTTGTAATGGTTTTGGAAGTAAATAATGTCAAAGAAATGTGTTGTGAATTTCAGGCTTGGCTTTATCACATTTGAACTAGCTGTCAAAAGCTTAGTGGGTAATTGTATCATTAACAAAGACATAATGGTGCATGGTGGTGCAGTGGTTAGCACTGTCGCCTCACAGAAAGGCGACAGAAGGTCGTGGGTTCAAACCCCGGTTTCCCCGGCCTTTCTGCGTGGAGTTTGCATGTTCTCTCCGGCTTCCTCCCACCATCCAAAGACTAGGTTGATTGGTTGTCCTTAGGTGAGTGGTTGTTCGTCAATGCGTGGCCCTGCGACCTGTCCAGGGTGTACCCCACCTTGCGCCCGATGTCAGCTGGCTCCAGCCCCCCCACGACCCTGTACGGTTGACGATGGATGGACAATGACATAATAAATATCTA